GAGTATAGTCATAGAAAAAGTTAAAATTATAATATAGTATTTGTCAGTTAAAATAAAACTTTTTATTTAAGTCATTTCTAACAATTCAAATTTCTCCGAGGCAATTCTAAAGTATAAATTAGGGTAGTATTTTTAAGTTGAAACACAATATTTTCAGTTTTGATGTCAACAATACAATTCAATTTTTCACAAAAACGATTGTTTCCATTGTTAAATTCAATGTCAACAATTCAAATTTTTCTGAGGCAAATTCTTAACGTCTAAATATTACTTTTTTATGTACACATTTCTAAATGTCAGTATTTAACCACAAAACAACTTAAAGTCCTCAAATTTAGCATGAAGTTGTAAAATATAATGAAAGAGGCTCGTAGCAATAAAGAAAGAAGAAGTAAAGTTAGTACTGTAAAATTAAAACAATATTTTTAATCAATGAGTCAAGTTCTTCAAGAAGCAATTGTAGAAGTAGGTTGTTTATTTAAACTTTTTATAGAATTTCTTTAAAAACACAATTGTTAATTTGGGCATTTGGCGATACAACACTTATAGAATTGAAGGATTTGTTATGTCAAGCGCTCAGGTATCATAATTTTGATCTAGTTGCGCTTCTATGTCATTTTGATTTATGTTATTAGTTGTTATTAGTTATGTTATTAGATGAAGTTAACTTAGTTAACTTTCAAAAAATTCTATGGCTGGCAACAGCATTTTTATTTTTTAAGTTGTTTATTTTTATTTCTGTTAGAATTCGTTATTTTTTTAACGAAATGTTTTTTAACCTCACAGAATTCTTTGCCGACTGATATATGAAGAAAATAAAGTAAATATTTAAGTGTTGTGAAAAGAATCTTATTTAGTTGTACAAAGTACTTCAGCCAAAATTTGGGAGTCACGTAAGAGAATTATATATATTAGATCAGAAACACATCATTAAAAGGCAGAATGCTTTGATGTTTTCAAAACGTAAACAAAGCAAAGCAAGCGTTGCCACCGGCGGAAAAGAAATACAGCCAAAATTTGGGAGCCACGTAAGAGAATTATATATAATAGATTACAAAAATAACAATAAAATAAATATTCAAAACCATCTTCACATCAAACTATTTTTTAGTAAACACGTTTGATATTCGAGGGCAAGAATTTAATGTGCAAATAAGCTCCTATGGTATGGTAAAAATAGAAAAATAATATCATAAGGGCAACCTTTCAATCGCTATCGAAAAAAATACAAAATACAGCCCCAATACAGAAGACAAAGAAACTCCTGGATCAAGCATTGGGAGAAATTTGACTTCTCTTAGGGCTTTTTGACGGAATTAACCCTCATTTGAGTTACACGAAAAGGAAAACCAAGAAAACTTCCAGCTATTAACCTGACCACAAGGGGACACTAACCAAGGATCCGTCTACCACTGAGGATATTTTACGTTAGCACTGTGGTCAGTGCGAGCCAGATGCGGAATTCGTATCTAGCAGCCATTGCTTTGGTCCGAACCCGAATTAGAAGGTGAATGCTCTATTCTCTGAGCCACCATGGCTCAGAGAGTAGCATTGGCTAAATGTAACATATGTGTCAACAAAAATAGCGCTCATCATTCAATTGTAGCCAATGTTCCATCTTTTAACGGCCATGGTAGCAAAACTAGAACATATGTGGTAAATAAAAATTAATCACAAGAAAAAAATTTGTTAAATAGAAGAAAAAATATTTTTATTTAAAATTTCCTACACTTTGAAATAAATGGTTTAATAAAATAATCGAAATTTAATCGATGGAGTAAGTACCTATACGTAATTAGAATTTTCGGAAATTGAGAATTTATCGATTAAATATTTCTTGTTTTTTAAATTTTTGTTTGTGATTCCTGATAGTTAAAGAACATTATTTACAATTTTTTAAACTTATCACTTTTCTATTGTTCATATATCTGAAGATAGGGTATCAATTTTTTAAGGAACTAAAACTAATATTAATTCAATTGAACTGAAAAATTTATCTACTGTTTCTCCTGTCTAACTTCTCCTTCATACTTTAAGCTTGTTCTCTAAATTTCTGATGAAAAAAATTTTCTTCAGATGCTATGATAATTTTTATTTTTGAAATCTAAGAAATGAAATAATCTGCAGGGCCCGCTGCCACGCTGGAAGGTTTTTTTACGACGCTCATTTTTGAATTTTTCAAAAAATCATGTATTTTTATTCTTTGATGAAAGATAGATTTAATATTATACAAAGCTTTACGTTTCATTTTATATTTTATAACCGTCGTTGAACAGCCAATTTTGAACATTATTGCCAAACAAATTGATAAGCATCATTGGGAAATAACAAATAGTAAAAGTAGCAACGATGACCAACATTACTTTTAAAAGTTTAATACTTTTATTATTGACAAGAATTATCGCTCCTCTGAATCCAATCACCTGATTAAGTTGCTACGGCATTTAATTTTGATGCGTTGCAGTTACAGAGATTCCTTCCCTTGCTAGCTGTTTCTAAAGTGACCCAAAAAATTCTTAGATAACAAATCGCAAGGACAATCACTGAAAACGCGAAGAAGGATATAAAACAAAATGCTTATGTTCCTTTTTGTCTCAAAATTATGTTAAGTCCACTGTTAGGATCATTATCATATTTTCTCCAAATTCGAAAGAAAAAAAAAATGAAACCACGCAAGAATTATTTGAAGTATTAGATATTTCGTTCTGTATTTCAAGTGATAATTATTTATAATCATCGTTGAACAGCCGGCTCAATTTTCCGCTAACTCGCACCTGAGTTACACGGCGAGGAAACCCATGCAAACCTCTAACGGTTAACCTGACTGTAACCCATGATACGTCTGTCACTGAGGCTATTTTATGTCAGCACTGTAGTCGGTACGAGCCAGGTGGAGAATTGGTATCGACCAGCCATTTCTGGGATTCGAGCCTGGGTCACCTAAATGAGAGGTGAGCGCTCAATCCCCTGACCCATCACGGGTCCAAAGCTTTATTTTTATGATACATCCAGTCTTATCAGGAGAGAACAAATAATTTTTTTTGTAAGTTTTTATTTCTTTTAAAATCCATGTACTGTCTTGCAATTACGAAAAGAGTCTTCATTCTAATTGAAAATTCTAATTGAACCTCACTGAGAGGTAAACTCGTGATGGCCTGATATCATGTTTTTTAATGGATACACTGAATAGTTAGAAAAGTTATATTCTATGTTTAAATTAGAAATTAATATTCTATTTTAGAGATAAACTTAACTTCAAAAAATGAAGAAAAATATTTCATCCAACAAGTAGAGGAAAAGAAAAATTAAAACTAGCTAAAACTTGTTTTTCTTTTTCTGAAATGATTGTACAAAAGGCACATCTTTAAATAGTTGAATTTAAGTTGAAAATTGACTATTAGCAATTTTTTTATTCTAAATTTTGCATTTACAACAACGATAATGTGGCTCAGTATTAGATAAAAGCTCATTCATGTAAAAAATTCTTTATTGTCTTGATTTTTTAACAAAAAGTATTCTCATGTAAAGCTTGTAAATTTTAGGAAATCAGATATGTTTTCAGGTTTATGTATTTAAATGTAAATTTTGTGCACATTTTAGGTTATACAAAGGAAAATGAATACTACATTTGAAGACAACAATCAGTTTCCTTTCTTCAACAAATCACTGACAAATGAGACTTTGGACATAAATAATGAGCATGTCAGTTCAGAGATGGAACGGAAGCGAAGAATTGCACAAATAGCGTTTCTTATTATTTCTTGCATAGGAATTTTTGGAAATTCTGTATCGATACTTGCTATGGCATCATCCAAGAAACTACGAAGTCCAACAACGACATTTGTCATAACCCTCTGCATTGCTGATGGTCTTTTTTGTGTCCACACCTTTATTAATAATACCATGCCTCAGTGGAACCGCAATCACTACTTTTGCGTTTTGATTTCAGCAGCCAAATGTTTCGTCGGTACCGAGTCAGTGTTTCTACTAGTAGCAATAACAATCAACAGATATGTGTGTGTTCATTACCCAAAACACTACAGCTCTATGTACAGATCAAAATACGTAGCTGGTCAGATAGCTTTTACGTGGATGTGTGCTTTAACCTTCGCCATTTTGCCATTTTTTGGATATTTTGGAACATATGGATACCATCCCAAAAGCGGACTTTGTGTCCTTTTGCAACCAAACTCGAATTCGGGCACAATTTCCTTTTTTACGACCTTTTTTGCGCTTCCAATTACTGTCTTTGTGATTTGTTACTCAAGAATTTACTGGTCCACTTGTAAGTTATCCAAGCAATTAAGAAGTCTTGACGTTTCCGTGAATGCAGCCTGTGACAGATCTTCAAATCACGTTGATGCTGGAGAGATGAAAATTTTGAAAGTGATGTTTGTCATTTCGATTAGTTTCGTGATTTGCCTTCTTCCAATGGGACTTGTCAAGTTGTATGACAATAATGCAAACATCCCTGCTCTTACAGTTCTATCATACTTGGGTATCAACCTAGCAAACGTGATTAATCCTATAATATACGTTTTGATGGGTGCTGAATACAGGAAGGCATATTTAGAACTATTTTCATGCAAACGAATTCAGCAGTGGTAGTCGAGTACTTCCGGTACAAATGTAAAAGCTTAATTTTGGCACAAATTTTATTCCAATTTTACTTTATCTGGCAACAATTAATTTTTAATTATAATTAACAAAAATACTATGTAACAGAATTATGAATGTAATTTATATATTTTTTAAACTGTAGTTGTTTGCGTGTCTTATTTAATTTTATATATTACTCAATGATTCCATATTTTACGATATTTAAAATATATATATATATATAGTTCAAAATAAAGATATATAAGTTCAAAATGAAGATTAAAGCAAAGAAAAATTAAAGACATATGAAAAAGGGAGAAGTAATAAGTAAAGAAATAACAAACAACAGTTTAAAAAAAAAGATGAAATTCTATTTTAAAAAACCGAGAAAAAAACCGGAAAAAAAGATAAAATCTTTTCATCAGCCTACACGATTATATCCGTAAAACAGAGTGCTTTCTGATATTGTATCAATAAAGCCAAAGCAAAATATATTAATACAATAGTGTGAGGAGCACTCAAAAAATTACAACAAATAAAATAGAACACAAAAGGTAAAAATAACATGTAAAAGCAGAAAATAAAATAAAATAAAATAAAAGAAAAGAAAAAGAAAAAACAGTAAAATTGAACTATAAAGCGAGTAGCGAAATCAGATCAACTTACATGGACGGAAATTTTTCAAGAATGATTTAATAATGTTTTCGCAGAAAGATTGTCAGATTACAAAATATGAAAACAAAAGCGCAAATTGAGTGTAACAAAAGGGTTTTAAAGTGTCGTTTTTACTGCACTGCTGAAGTGATTTGTTATTCTGTGCATTGATTTGTTAGTTACCAAGGATGGTCCCGAAATGGATGTGCGCGAGGTAATATTATACTGGATAATTTTAAAAACTGACCATAAATAGTTTTCGAAAATAGATGTTTATTTAAGAAAAAATATAAAATAGAAAAGAGAAACATAAATTGCCTGTTTCGCAAATAATTTTAGCCACGGATTTGCACTAAATGGCTTAGCGCATGGAAAAATTATATAAATTATCAAAGAAAAAAATTTTAATAGATAATTTTAACACGGATTTGCCCGAAATGTATTTCCACATGGAAAAATTAACAAATAAAAAATTTTAGTAGATAATTTTAGTCATGGATTTGCACATGGAAAAATTGTATAAATTAATAAAGAAATTTTTAGCAAACAATTGTTTATCTTAACTTTCTTCGTGTTTTCCTGTATTTATTTATTTATTTATTATATATATATATATATATAAATATATATCATCTACTTAGGACCCATCTCGAAAAAAAAATTACAGGAACTCGCGACTTGTACGCAATACGACTCAGAAAGCATATTTGAATTTGGAAATCGCCTTCGTCGATTGGGCGAAAATATGCTATCCGCTCAGGCGAATGGCGCAAATCCGGCAGTGAGAAAAGCAAATAATGGAATATTATTAGCAAGATTTTGTGCGAGTATTAAGCCAGAACTACAGAGACAGG